AATCCCAGCACTTTGGGAGGCTGAGGTGAGAGGATTACCTGAGCCCACAGGTTCAAGACCCACCCTGGCAACTTGGTGAGACCACGTGTCTACAGTAAAACAAAAATTAGCTAGGCATGGTCGTGCATGCCTGTCGTTTCAGCTAGTTGGAAAGCTGAGGCGGAAGGATCGCCGGGGCCCAGCAGGTTGAGGCTGCAGTGGCCGGGAGCGTGCCACTGCCCTCCAGCCTGTGTGATAGAGTGAGACTCCAACTCAAACAAAACAAAACAAAACAACTAAAATTATTCATGACTCCAATGAGCTTTTGTTTACATGGATTATATCTCTTGGTATTTATTGCATTCAAAATTAAAACTAAGAAAAACATTAACTTCATTTAAAAACAATAATGATAAACTCATTGCCTATTAACATAAATACTTTTTATGAAAAATAACTATATTTTCCAAGACAAAAATATTTTAATGAGAGGATTAGTGATTTTTACAGTTCTGCAAATCTCATTAATACATGGCTTAATAGAAGACATCTGGATTCTCATATCTGTTTCTGCCCTCCATCTGTTGTATTGTCAAACAGCATGTAGCTTCTGGAAGACTCACTAACACTCCTGCAAGAATAATAAGAATGGAAAAAGCAATAATGTCTTCCTTACCAACTACTCAGTCTTTTACCCTTTGTAATTAGGCTTTCACAAAATTCTTTATGTGAGATCATCAATGGTTATCAATTACTGAACCTTTTCTCAGTCTTATTCTAACTGATAAACCACTGTAATTCATAGAAGTGACCATCTGTTTTTTGGTGAAACTTCTCCCCTTGCCCTGGGGTTGATACGTCATCAATTTACTCTAGTTCTTCACCTGTCTCTGATGGTCTCTGCAGCTTCTTGCCTAGTTACTGTTATCACTTCCCATCTAATTTCTGGGACTCTAGTATTTCTCCTACAGAGCACTGTTTTGTCTAATTTACCTTAAGTAAATTTCTGGTCATATTATATTCTGTTTAACAACTTACGATCATTTTCCCCATTGTCTCAAAAATAATACATATGCCTTTTTTCCCCAGTTTTTTCAAATTCTTATTTATTTAGAGACAGTGCCTCACTCTGTCGCCCAGACTGGAGTGCGGTGGTGTGATCATAGTTCCTGTCACCTTGAACTCCTGGGTTCAAGCGATCCTCCCACCTTAGCCTTCTGAGTAGCTGGGACTCCAGGTGTGCACCGCCACATTTGGTCAATTTTTGATTTTTTTTTTTTTTTTGGAGAGACGGGGTCTTGCCATGTTGCCCAGGTCAGTCCCAAACTCCTGGCCTCCGGTGACCCTCTAGCCATTGTCTCCCCAAAAAAAAAAAAAAAATTTGTGTCCAAGACACTTTGTTTTAAAGACTGATAAATAAAAGGAGTCTAATTGTTTAGTGAGCTAAAAAGTAAAGTATTATCTTTTTCAAGGTTCTGGAAGTTTCTAAACATGACTAGAATTTTGCAATATTTAACTTTACACTATGTTTGTAACACTTCTTGGTCTCAAAGTTCACAAAAATAAGAATATTTCCCTGTAACTGCAAAGGCTGTCACAAACGAGCTGCAGTGATACTTGGGAGTACATGTATACACAGAGGGACATGTGTTTGGTTTTTGTCTTGTTTCCCCCTAGTTAAAAAAATAATGTCCAAAGAGAACAAGGTGACTAAGAAATGTCTATAGCTATGAGGCAATGCTGAGAGCTCTGAAAACTACAATAATGATGTCTTACTTATGTAACATGCACCCAGTTATGAACACATTTTCTTTTTTTTCTTTTTTTTTTGAGTTGGAGTCTCACTCTGTCACCCAGACTGGAATGCAGTGGCCGCTCCCGCCACTGCAGCCTCGACCTGCTGGGCTCCGGCGATCCTTCCGCC